TCCACAGTGAGTACTCCTTTCTATCTGTGCGCACATTCTTTTTCCGGAACTGTATAAAACTTTCTTTTCCCGCCTTTGGCCATCTTGTATTTCTATTTTGGCGCGGAACATTTTTCATTGATCCCGACCTTGGGATGAGTTACGTGTTACTGTTTGATTAAAGTTTACTCATGTTTTTATAAACAGATGTCTTTGGCATTTTTTATTTCGGCTATCTTAATACCATTTATTTATGCACTTGTTGATTGACCCCTTTCCTCTCATTGTTCATTCACGCATTTTACTTATTTTTACTTTGCTTGTAGACTCGGTAGTTTAGTGTGGTGTCTGGCACAAGGCCACTCAGTATAATCCAGCACTGCACCCTACCGGGCCCGCAACAAGCCATGCTTCTTAAATCGTTATTTCCTCATCACAACTGTAAGGCACCCTTGAAAAAGTTTTAAAAAGTTCTTAGTCTCCGGTAATATCGACATCTTATACGCAAAAATCATTGTTTATTTGGGGACTGTTGCCCTTAACGTCGTCGTTTTTATTTGTGGTAAAAACAACAAATATGAGAATTATAGTCCGCGTGTAAATCTATTTATCTGTATATATATAAAATTCTGTGACTTCTGTCTGTCTGTCACACCCTCTGAAAAAGCCAAACCGATCGAAACCAAATTTTGGGAGAATAGCAAACAGATAATGGGGTGAAAATACAGTTCGTTTTACGAGATTGCGTTGCTTAGTGCAATAAATTTTCATTTATTTTTTGGAAAAATTAAAGATCTTATTATTTAACATACAAAATACTCTCACTATTTTAAAAATCATTTTACTTATTTAATAAAAACACAATACTGTTTTTTTAGCATATCTGTTCTTTAAGTATTTATATATATTTCAATCTGGTAAAATATAATGTAGTGTCGGAGTTAATTCCTCCTTAATTTTCTAAATATTTCACCAGGGTACGCTCTCCCTAAACTATAAATTACCGGTCGATTTCTTTTCTCGTTCTCTTTCTTTCAGCGGAGACGTTTAAAGGATGTGATCTCTCGCAGAGATTTGCGTTTTTGCCCACTCGTAGAAAAAACGCCATGAAACACACATACACGTACGAATATTCACCAAAATACAAACTCTTTACGTTCACACACAAACACAAATGTTAATGTCTATGTCCATTGTAAACTTTGTTGTTTAATAAATATACTTGTTTGTATATATATATATATATATATATATATATATATATATATATATATATATATATATTAAAAAGGCTCTGGTGAAATAAATTATTATAATGGAACCTTAAAAGTGGTCTGCTTTTCTTCAATATATACATATATATATATATATATATATATATATATATATATATATATATATATTATAAATTAATTGATTTAAAATATGTTTTTTCGCTACACAGTTCTAACCATGTTTCAAAAATGGAAGCTGAAAGCTCAATTTAATTTTGTAATTAAATTAAGACATTAGTTCATTTCATCCTCAAGCGAAAAAATTCGCTCGAGGATGAAATGGAACTAATGTCTTTAATTTAATTACAATGTCTTTAATTTAATTACAAAATTAAAATCGGAGCTTTCAGCTTCCATTTTTGAAACGTGGTTAGAAATGTGTCGCGAAAAAAAAGCATATTTTAAATCAATTAATTCATAATATTAATGCTCTGTAAATATACACTGAGCACTATTTTGAAAAAATAAAAATATCTATAAGAACACCGGATTATATATCTTACTGTTCTTTCTTTATATATATATATATATATATATATATATATATATATATATATATATATATATATATATATATTAAAAATTTGTTTATATTTTTGTATAATTCAATTTTTTATTCCCCTTCTTGAATTTTTTTTACCGTTTAGCAAAGTAAATAAATCATCTGCTTGTTCCTTTTCACCTTTTCTTGTTTTTTTTTTCTTTTTTTTTCTTTACTCTTCTTTTCTTCTTCTCTTTCGTTTTTTCTTTCTTTTTGAATATTATTCTTTTTCTTTGCTCGTCTCTCCTTTTCCTTCTTTTCTTTATTTTCCATTGCTTTTTTCTTTCTTTTCTTTTTACTTTTCTATTTCTTTTATTCTTTTCTTTTACTCTTCTTTTTCTCTTCTTACTTTTCTCTTCTTTTTCCTTTCTTTTTCTTCTTTTTCCTTCTTCTTTAATTTTTTTCTTTTATTCTTTTCCGTTCTTTTTCTTTGATTCTTTTCTGTTACTCTTCTCTTCTTACTTTCATTTCTTTGCCTTCTTTTCTTTATTTATTTCCTTTTCTCTCCTTTTCCTTTTTCTTTATATCTTTTTTCTTTTTTCTTTTTTTTTTGATTTTCTTTTCTTATTTTAATGATTGAATATCGGGCTTGTTGTTGGCTTTAGATAAGGTTTTAAAGATTTTAAACTTGAAAAAGAATCTCACAATGATAGATAAAAATAAACGGAACCGGATGAGGAGAAGGAAAATGAGTGTTAGTAATCACGCTCAGTTAGAAATTAACAATATTATCTTCATTTATTTTATTGGTACCAATTTAAAACGCAAACAACCAAAATAAAACAAGAAATAAAATTCCTGATAGATAAATTTAGTCCGTCTCTGTTCATTCGACCAGTTTAAATTACTTACGTAATTTTCTAGTGATTAGCAAAGATTGAATTTAATTTTTAATTTTTTTTTTTTGTCTCGTTATTTTTTGTTTTTCCTGTTTCTCGTTGTTGGATGTAAATTTTAGAAGCACATAAACAGCTGAATGGGAAACAGAAAATCGCTTCCTATTGTAATGAATCGAATAATTAGTACGGCTAAGAAGATAAAATAAATACAGTGAAAAATAAATACATTTTGGAACAGTTAAAACAGTCACGTGAACGATATAAATTCTCTTCGACGCTTTTAAAGTACAGCCTCATACACACTTATACATACATACATATATATATATATATATATATATATATATATATATATATATATATATATATATATAGTGTGTTCTCACCACTAAAAAGGTCGAGCAGTGTACCTCTTTTTAAGGCAAACAATTTTTGTAATTAAAGTGCTCACTGTTAATAGAATATTAATAGTAAACAAATGAATATTTTAAAAATGTTCAAAAACCTATCTTCTCTATTCAAGTTGCGAAGATGTCATCCGCTCAACAGGGGGTTAGTCAGTTCAACTGAAATTATTAACTATTATTATTGTCTAACCAATTAACTGTTATTATTAATTCACTTATGAAATATTATTACTATCTGGCGACCAGAGGGCTGATGCCATCTGCGAAACTTATGATCGGAGTTGTTTTTTTGAATTTTTAAATTCATCTGTTTATGAATATAAGCGTGTTTCCCCCACCAAATGAAGTTATGATTGCTCCCTCTCTCTTTTTCCCTCTCTCTCTCTCTCTCTACCTCTCTCTCTCTCTCTCTCTCTCTATATATATATATATATATATATATATATATATATATATATTAAATAAAAACAGACCACTTTAAGGTTTCATGTAATAAATTATTTCACCACAGCCCTTTTAAAGGACTGCGGATCATCAGACTTTAAAGTGGTCTGATTTTATTTAAATTATTTGCTCTGGATTTACATTGAGCTCTCTCGATTTTATCCTCCTTGGGTCTACTCATACGGATTACCTAGTTTTTCATAAACTATATATATATATATATATATATATATATATATATATATATATATTACATCAATCAGTAGTGATTTATACGTATGTTAACTCATTTTATCAGTATCTCACTAATTTAAACCGTTATCTAACTCCTCTTTTAAATTTCTCTTTTTAAATTTTATTTCGCACCCTCACCTTCAGGTCTTTTCTTATCCTTCTTTCTCCCGTTACACCTCTCTCTAGAGCTTTCATACATTTCCTCTCTCCCTTGTTTCTCACTCTCACACATACACTCTCACTGAAATTTCGTTTTTATATCCACAGTCATATTTTCCGTTATCTTTTTGAATTTGTAGTTCTGATGAATTGGATTGTGATTACGATTCCAATGTAATAAATTATAACCATGGAATATTAGTGTTTGAGCAATATATATATATATATATATATATATATATATATATATATATATATATACTTACATCAATCAGTAGTGATTTATACGTATGTTAACTCATTTTTATCAGTATCTCACTAATTTAAACCGTTATCTAACTCCTCTCTTTAAAATTTCTCTCTTTTAAATTTTATTTCGCACCCTCACCTTCAGGTCTTTCTTATCCTTCTTTCTCCCGTTACACCTCTCTCTAGAGCTTTCATACATTTCCCTCTCACCCTTGTTTCTCACTCTCACACATACACTCTCACTGAAATTTCGTTTTTATATCCACAGTCATATTTTCCGTTATCTTTTTGAATTTGTAGTTCTGATGAATTGGATTGTGATTACGATTCCAATGTAATAAATTATAACCATGGAATATTAGTGTTTGAGCCTTTTATATTATATTCTTTCTCTGTCTTGTACATTGAACTGTATCTGAATTTTATACTCTTGGAAATAAATATATATTGACCACTATATATATATATTTTCGATCCTAGCAAGAGGCAACCGGACATCTAGCCACACTGATGAGCTGTGATACAGCGAAACAGTCTGACTATAACGGCTAACAATGCAAGACTCTTCGGTAAATCGAATCGAGTTATCTCAGTCACTGTGTGTTTATCTAAAGATAAATACGTTTAAATTCATCTTCATCCCTGTCGTGTGCCAACGGATTAGTGCTAGAATCTGCGACCGATGACAATTCAGTCGGGTTTCGATCGTAGCTAGAGGCGACCGGACGCCTAGCCACACTGATGCGCTGTGATACAGTGAAACAGTCTATGGATGACAATATATATGTATCCAGTACCCTACATTTTGGAAATTTGTAAATAAATACATAAAAGAAAACTGATTTTTTAATATTTAAAACAAAACTATGGGGCTTACAACCATATCACATGGAAACACCAGTTCTCATACAACCACCATAGTTAAGCAATGTCAAGCCTAGTCAGTACCAGGCTGGGTAACAACTTGGGAATACGAGGTGCTGTATGTATGTGTAAGTAATGTAATGGATAACGTCTCCAAAATGGCTCTGCTCATATATATTTCGAGCACCCTACTTTTTGAAAATTTGTTAAGCAATGTCGAGCCTGGTTAATACATTTAAGTAATAAAATCTGTCAGATTATTATCTAAACCTTTCTTTAGAACTTGTGTGTGTGTATATATATATATATATATATATATATATATATAATTTTCCAAGATGATAAAATCTAGGTAGAACTCTACGTCAAAGACAGAGCAAGAATATATTATAAAAGGCTGAAACACTAATATTCCATGGTCATAATTTATTACATTGGAATCACGATCCAATTCACCAAATTTTTGAATTTGTAGGTCTGATGAATTGGATCGTGATTACGAATCCAATGTAATAAATTATAACCATGGAATATTAGTGTTTTGAGCAATATATATATATATATATATATATATATATATATATATATATATATATTATAGTTGAGGTGTGAACTTTAAAATCACAATGAGTTTTTGATTACTTTAGTCACACAGTATACATCTATAAACGCTGTGTCTCCGATATTTAGAACCCTACACCATAAATATCGCAAATTTTACAAACACATGCACATACACACACACACACACACGCATGCACGTACATGTGTGTGCATATGTATCTATATATACCTACACTTTTAAAATAACTATTCTCTTCCTGGCGTAGGTGAACATGGCCCTCGACATTTCGTCTTCTTTACATTCTGTGAATAACTATGAATTCTTTGAAAAGATAGTGGAGTACTTCAACGTTGACTCCTCAGCAGTTTGAATTTCAGTGTTTTCCGTCTCTTTGCTTGATACTAACGAGTAATGAAGCCAGGTTATCACGCTATTTCACCTACAGCTGCGAAGCAAGTGCCAGTTTCATAACTTTCAAGAGGATTATTTGTGCAAAAGTCTACGTAACTGCATTTGCCATAATTTGAACATCATTTGCCGATCCCAGTTTTCAACGCCGTGTGCAATACGCTACGCACCCAATCTTTAAGATATGTATTTCGGGAATTACACTTACTATAATTTCGTTTGGCCTCGTTCCCAGATACCGTAACATATGACATCACGCTCGACCATTTCAATCGCCCAGCTTCCCAAAGTATACCAGGATGTACACAAAAAAAAAATTCTATCACGCAGACACCACATCGGTTTTTGATAATGAGTCGACAGTACACAAAATATGAAATTCGAACCGTTTATCCACAAATTTGAGCAACACTTTATCTGAAAGTCGGAAAATCAAAGATCAAACAGTCAGACCTTGTTGGTTCTTTTTAATCAAACTTGTTTGTATATATATATATATATATATTAAAGACATTTTTATGAAAATATTCGTCCTTTGACAGGATTCGAACCTGCATCCTATACGGAACCATCATTTACGCTGACGTGCTTTAACCGACTCGGCCACAAAGGAGCGTTTCGTAGGCAAGGTCGAATTTACTGCTTATAAACTTCAATCTTCCATGAATCTCGTGCATGGTGAATATCTTTGTTAAAATGTCCGTATAACGACTCTGAAGATGGCTCATGTGAGTTGAAAGGTTAGCTCAAGGACCTGTCGGATTCATTCACTTATGTGCTAATGTCCTCAGGAAAGGTATTAATCCTCTTCTCCCCTCAGCTATGGGTAAATAGCAGGAAAAACTGGGTTCTATAGCCTTGGATGGCAACTGGTCTAGGAGAAGGACAACTCTGAATTCAAAATCTGTGGAGGGTCATTTGGAGACCTTGGGCATGTAGTGCACCAGGTCCCTGTATTCGTCCTTCAAAAGTGTGAATGGTTCTGCACATAGCCTTCACCACTATAATCAAATCATATGTACAGGCATCTGGATGTCGGTTCTTAGGAACTCAATTGCTTGACCTTCATACGTCGCAAAACCGATGGGAGCGTCCAGTATATATATATATATATATATATATATATATATATATATATATATATATATATATATGTATATATATATATATATATTATGAAATGGACAAAGTCCGAAAATTATTTTTAAGACATTTTTATGTTTATACATTCTTTTTATAGATACAAATATTTAAGTAAATGCTCTGTTTATAATAAACAGTATTAAACAACATTTACCGGTCTGAATGTTCGGGAAATTTTCACAGAAAATATTCGTCTTCCGACAGGTTTAGAACCAGTATTCTATACGGAACCGTCATTTAGCTTGACGTGCCTTAACCGATTTGGCCACAGAAGAGCGTCCGGTTAGGAAGGTCGAATTTACTGTATTTGAACTTCAATCTTCTATGAATCTCTCACGTACATTCATATCTGCTCATGGCGTATGAAATGTAAACAAATGACGTCACACCTGACTCCAGTATTCACTTATATATATATATATATATATATATATATATATATATATATATATATACTTTGGCTGAGTGTTTATATATCATACCGTTCTTACGCTTGAATATCAAAGGTGAAACTGGTGCGATCATGTTCATCCGTGGGAAGAGTTACTTACATCGGGTGAAGTGTGGATCGCCACTTTTGGCGAGGAGATTATTCCTCGCGTCAAACCTGCAGATGGCTGGTGTAATAGTGAGTGCAATGTCTATTCTGGCATTATCCGAAAAAAACAAACAAACAAAAAAAAACAGCATTAATAATTAGCAGTTTTATTCAGGTCTCAAACACCGGCTGCATGTACACCTCCATCTCAGCCATGAAGCAAGCCAAGTAATTACTCCTTACCCTTACTTTATAGAGAATTTGACTCGAGGTATTTTTAATGTCACGATTTGAGACGATGGCGTTTTCACCCACCTTAGCATGCAAGGTAGATATCAGGGAATATCCCAACCTCTTCCAAGGGGTGAGACACAATGAAGGAAACTCCGCGGAGAACATTGATTATTTTATTTTCAGTCACGATGAGATATTTATTTGTTTAACTAACTCATGAATAACGGATAGCGGCTGAGATTCAGGGATCAGAGCCGAGTTCGAATTCCGGTCGAATCTTTGGGAAAGATATGAATCCTCTTCTCCTCCCAGCTATGGGTAAATAGCAGAACAAACCAGGTTCTATAGCTTTGGATGGCAACTGGTCTACCGCAGAAAGAAATGGTAACCTCGTCAGTCATGTATCGAAAGATATATGATCACCAAAACGTGTACCCCGCATGGCACATGAGTGACTGAGCTGAGTTAGCGAAAAACAATGTTTATTTTAGTTTCAGGCACGGTGAGACATTTATTTGTTTGTAAAGGGAAATGGCAGATTTCAATGTAGGAACTGATGAACTATTAAGTAAAACTAGACCAATACGATGCTTTGATCTTGGCTTCTCTCCAAGAAAATACACGTCTACTGCATCTTTGCTGGCCAACCTAAAGGTCACCTTTTGGCGTGGAAAGGTAAAAGAAAACCGGGCATCTCTATTTTATGAGCGTTCATTAATATTAATGAATTAGCTGAAAGCTTAATTAGCTTTTCTGTGGCCGCCATTTGCAGACATGGCTCAGGAGTAAAGCTGACAGTCCTAATGTGGGCAGTACCGCTTCTCTGAGAATATGGGAAGACCTAGCGGGTTACAAGGAAGACCTAGAAAGTCACGAGGAAAAAGAAGCCGTTAGTAGGAGGATTTCTTTGATAACAAAGAAAAGAGTACCGAGCTGCTACGTGACATTTGTCCTCCTTTACAGCAGCGAATGTTGGACGGTCTCCTCAAAGATAAAGAAGAGACTCGAGGCAAAGGAGGTATGGTTCTACAGAAGGATGCTGAGGATATCATGGACCGTGCGTGTGAGCAACGATGGTGTTTTGGAGAAGATGCAAACATAGAGGAAGCTTATACTTAACATCAGGAAGAAGCGGCTGAAATTTCCGGGAAACAATGAGAAAGGAAGGCTTGGAGAATCTGATACTCACAGGTCGAAGAGAGGGAAAGAGAGACAAGGGAAAGCAACGTATGACATACCTAGTGGGCTTAAGCAAGCGGGTGAGAGAACGTGATCTGGAAGAGGCGGGAGAAGGAAGAAACTTATTGAGAGCCGCAAGGAATAGGAGGAGGTGGACAGCCATAATCGCTTACGTTCTGAAGGGACACGGTACATAAAAAGAAAGAAGTGGCCAGAAAAAAAGTAGTGGAGTTGGAACCTAAGGTTAGCAGTAGAACCAAGTAATAACACCTTTTTTTGTATAAAAATACAGGATGCACGTTCAGGAGTAGTTTTCTTAAGGACGATTGCAGGAGTGCCATCAAGTCTACATACTTTTGGGGAATCCATTTAAGATATTATATCGGAAACCATCCATTTAAGATATTATATCGGAAACCATATGCATATCCCACAGCAGAGACTCAGTTATAAGTGGACAGTCAGACGAAGATTATTCAAGAATAGAATTGGAAGAGAATTTACCATTCGCGCATGCGCTAAATATTGCTTCCACCATTGACATGTCCCCTGTTATGCATGTAAAAATTCTTGATAAATCCCAAGAAGAAGCTGCAATGTTCTCGACCCTGGCCTGGCATCTCGGCTTCAGTTACTTCCCCACCGCCGTAACTTGGCTTCCCTCTGCATTTTCTACAAATATTTTCATGGCAATTGTAGTTGGATACTTAAACTTTACGAATTTAAGCGCATTACTAGATTGGAAACTAGGTCTCATCATGCTACAGTTGTTACAGATGTTACAGTCGTTACAGATGTATGCTAAAAGTGTCTCCTCTCGTACTTATCACTTGTAGAAATCTCTTCCATATTCTTGCTTTCAAATCAACTTTTAATTTAAATGCTACGTCAATCGCTATATTCTGTCTTCTTAATTCCAGTTCTTTTATTGTTCTCTCTCCTTAATAATGTTTGTCATATTCTTTAACACTTATTAACCCCTCGCATCTTAGTGGCTTTATTGCCTTTCTTGAGGCGAAATGATTAAAAAATCAATATGACAAAAATCTGTCACTT